CAATTTATTTTGTTGGTGTTAGTCAAACTCGAGGGATGTGAGAATTAGTGGGAATTATAGTGCAGAATTTGGCACAAATGGTACCTGAGCTGACCGCGATGTCATCTGAGTAGCACTAGACGACAACATGTTACATGCATGGAATGGAAAGTACATAATCATTCATCATTCGAGAATTGAATTGATCTCTATAATAAATATAATATATTATGAATATTTGATCTACAATTACACCCCACACTTTGTATATATGTATAACTATAAGGAGTCGACATCCCCTTAATTAGACCGAACCGAAGAAGAGAACTTTGACATTTACTTAATTATATATAGCTGGTCTTGTTAATTGGAAAGTGGAGTTCGTACGAAGATGTAGTCTCAAACAAGCATACAACATGCTGTGCCCTGGTGCCCTGGTGCCCTAGTGGCCTAGTGGCCTAGTGCCTTAGTGCCATGGCATGTACTAGCTAGCTAGTAGGAGATTGATTACCACTAGCTAGCTAAATTATTATTATTATTAGTTTCCACATTACATATAGATTAACTAGCTTCTTTAATAATATTACACGTATCACACGCTTAATAATATCAAACTTAATTATCTTCTCCTTCCTCCGGAGCCGCTTTCTCTTTGACAATTAAAATAGACGGCAGCTACCGGTAATCCAAGATTGTAAAGCTCCGCAAAGTCTCTTGTATTAAAGTTCTGGCGCCATCCCGGAGCATACACTGTTTGCCTACCCAATTGCCGAAACAACACCAAAACAAAGCGATGAATCCCCACCGTTGGCCGTGGGCTTTCATAACACACAATCTCTTGCCCTACATCAATAAATGTACGTATATGGGGTTTCATTATAAATTGGTCATGCATCCAAAAATATAATCAAATGTTAATTAATTAAGCCTTTTGTAGACTAGCGAGCCCAATTGGACATTTCTTTGAAAATTTTATGCACACATGTGACACTACTATTGGGAGGAATGTAGAAGCTCCAACTTATATGGTCCCAAACCCCAATAACTAGAAAGAAAATGCTAGATTTACCATAACTATAATATAATAGAAACTACTCACCAAAGCTTGCCGCAGTTGTTGCTGGAATATCCGTAACCAGCCTGAAAAGTTGGCACAATCAGAAGTATAAGACCAACATTTAACTGATATTCCGAAAACAACCAGGAATAAATGAATGAACGTTCTTCTTTTTCCTAAGCAAATCCTTCTTCGTCTATATATACTCTTTCCCCAATATATATTTGGTTGGAAAAGGCATGAAGATTTGAGCTGGAAACCTCAACTTTGATGGCAAATTGCTTAAGCCAAAGGGGGAAGATATAGTCAATCTATAGGGAGGGAATATGACAAATTTCTATGGGAAAGAGGGAGAAAGAAAGAGAGAGAGAGAGAGAGATGTCTTTATTCCTTGGGAGAGAGAAGCGACAAATAATACACACCAATGCAAATATTCCTTTAGGTTGGGGTCACTTGGGCTAGGTGCATCAGGATCCACCATGACCTGCAACAATGAATTAATGTATCATATGTACTGGAGAGTTGATAAATAAATAAAAAACATGCAAGCAAGAGGATGGATTGACCCCGTACGTATGGACTTAATTATGCAAAATAAGATGGGGGGGAGTCGAGAAGCATGCAAATATATTATATATGCAAAAGATGAGATGGAATGGAAGAAAGTAGATTAATAAAGTAGTAATAGTATATTACTTTACTTACCAGAGTGTAGAAAGTCCTAAGATCATCCCCACCAGTATCAACTCTAGGTTGGTGGACAACTTGGGAAGGTTTGAGCTCGCAACCATTGTTAACCTCCTTCAT